TAGTTCGAAATGTCCTTTAAAAGTTCTAATTTCAAGCATTTCAATTCGAAGTGCTGCGCATTGAGACGCGATTACTTAACTCACCAACTCACAGCGACATCAACACAAAAGAGCATCTCAACTCAATACAGTGTTGCCCAAGCCTATTACAAGTGAATGAAATTTTTATTGATCTCTCATGTTTGGCGCTTGCACTAGCGCTTAACTTTCAAACTAGTTCTTTATCATTTTTTCGTTAGAGTTTCTGTAATGTTCAGATGGAAAACCATTTCTTAAAATTCCTTCCAAGTAAGACTTTCAAGTACAGAGGAATATAAAACCATACTTCTATCAAGAAAATGGCTGGAAATTAGAAGCAAATTGATAGGATAATTTTGTTTCTTATGGCTAAGACTGACGAGGTTCTTGGAAAACGACGCCCACAATATTTTCAAGCTGTGTCATACTCTTGTCTTTATGCTTGGAAACTCATTTTCCAGATTTAATCCATTTTTTGAGCTTGTCTGAGTGCTTCAGCTTTAAACTTGCTTGCTCTCAGAAAATTTAATTCTTGTTATAAGCAGTGATGCCAGATTGGCAAAATTAAAATCCCCAGATGGTAACTTAAAAGTTCCCAGTTTTCCTTAGATTTTCCAAAAAAATAAAAAATAAGAATGTTGAGGTTTCTTGGTGACCGTGAAGAAAATTAGTGATAGATGTTGCTTTCTTTATATTGGGTTAATCGGTCAATAGATAGTAGCAGAAAAATAAAACTGCTGTTTTACTTGGGCCAACGTGTCGGATTTATTTAAGGCTTAATCGAGGCTAATGATCCAGTGCATTTCCACAGGTTGTTATATGGTGGAAATGCACTAAATCATTGGTGAGGGGCCCTAGTTATGATTGTCCTGCCAAATATTGTTTTTATAACCTTTGCAACTTTGAACTTTTTCGCTGTTTTATCTTGTGTTACCGTTAAATAGATGTATTTGTTTGTCCTTTCTCTTTAATGGTCAATTTGACGGTGATTTCGGTTCCGTCCGAATTTTATATTTTTGAAAAGTAACTTTTATTCAATTTTAAGACAAGCCACTCTGTTACTTTTTAGAGCCCCGATGATGGCTTAAATAAAGCCGAAACGTTGGCCCAAGGAAAATAGTCGTTTCTTCTCTGCCACTATCTATTGACCGATCAACCCAATATAAAGAAAGCAACTCCTATTATTGGTTATTGGAAACAGCATATTACGAAATTTAAAAAATGTGAGTCATAATTTAGTTCAATTTGTATTCTTCTTATTTATTCTTTTAAATTCAATCTTTAATTTAGCTCTAGTTGTAGCCATCTGTAGTCCGATATATTAATATTTTCTACCCATAATTAATATTTTTTGAAGACAAACGAAAAATTAAAAAAATCCCTAGATAATTATGACGAATCCATTTTTCCTTTTGCCTGAGAAAGATCCCTAGAACTAGGGAAAATTCCCTAGTATGGCATCACTGGTTATAAGCAGAACCGATAAAATCGTGAAAAAAAAAGAAAAATCATTCTCATGCCACATGATTGGAACAAACTGCATTCTTTGAGCTCAGACTGATTTATATTGAGGTGATCACTTGATAATGGTCCTTAACTGCTAAATAAAACGTACAACTGACGGTCTGAACAATTGACAAATCTGAACAAAGCCTCAAAAAAAAACAGTGTTTTAAGAACATGAATAAAAGTGCAGATAGAGGAAGAAATCTCAAACTTACACATTAAAGTATGAAAAAAATCCACATCTAATTCTAACAACCGGAAAAAGGGTAAAAATGTGTATTTTTGTACCAGGAGCGGTTAAAGCCAATGTCTTCCTAATGTACAAAATGAACATTTCGTCAACAGATTTATTCATATTTAGCAATCAAGATCGAAAACTTTAATTTTTTAATTTCTTTAATTAAACAATCAAAGATAAAGGAGGTATTAAGAAACACATTTTTTCAGGATCTGGATTTTAATGACTGGCAATCCTCTACATTATGGTTAAAGAGAAAATTACAAAATAAGAACTTTCTCAATTAATTGGTTGGACATCTGGCCATATTTTCAAACCGGACTAATTTTTTTTGTAATTACAGCCTTTTTCTAAATGCGTCTGTACTTATCGAACCAAACCGACAATTTTCCTGGAAAAAAGAGCTAATCATCCAATTAACTTTCCGAAGCCGAAAACAACAAACATTGCGACCCGGTAGTTAAACATTTGAAACCCTTCACAGAAGGCACCAGAATGAGGCTAATGGCTATTGCAGAAGTTTTCCTCAAGCTTTGGGGCTTATGGCCAATGACCAGCATAAATCCTTTCCGGAAAATATTATACTTGCATTATAAAGTGGTCGTTATTGGATGGTACACGGCGTTTAATTGCTGCTATCTGGTCGGATCTCTCAGGTACAAAACTAGAGGAGTTTAATGCAGAACGTTAAGCAGCTGGTTGCTTTTTCAGGCTGATAGCTAATAATGAACCATCTGAAAGGATCAGCAAATGTCTTTCCGTATTGCTATCCATCGGTCTGCTTCTAGTAAAAGGTCTGCTCTACCTCAAAAACCACATTTCCCAATTGTGCATCAAAGTTACAGAGTCGGAGGTAACATACAGCGACTCCTTGGACTCCAAAATCAAAGAAGCATATAAACGGACAGAACTCGGCAACAATCACTTGAACTATTACATTCTCGGATCGACGTTTAGCACCCTGATAGCTTATGCAGGAGTGTCGTGTATCGAAGTCTACAATACTGGACCGGATTATTGGAAGATGGACAACGTGTCTTTTATGCACGAAATCTATCTACCAATCGATAAGCTGAAGTGGCGCTGGTGGATTATGGTAGCTAACATAGCGACGGCTTGCGAAAGCGTTGTGGTTAACATAGCTGTGCAGAGCAGCTACTGTGCTTTGGTCATGTTTGGGTCGCTTCGACTGGAGGTTCTTCGAATCCGGTTGAAGAAGTTTCATAAATCATCTTGCAATGTAGCAGATATGAAGGGATTTGTGATTGAGCACATAGATTCCATAAGGTACATATTTCATTGTTCTTCATTTCATTGGGCCGAAGGGTTAATGGAGCTCATTTGGAGAGTGGAGAAGAAATTTTATATCCATGAGTTTTCACTTGTTCTTAGGTTCGAGTTAGTTGATTATGATGATTACACTGATGGACAAAATTAGCGCCCACCTATACATTTTCAAATAAACCTTTTTTTTCTCCCACGTGGGCTCGTAAATAAAGTAATGATGGTAACATTTTACATTACGGATTGTTTTTGGTCCCTTTCTATTCATTCTAATGCAAGTTTATTCTTGTTTTGTGTCAGTTGCAATTTCATATCATTGTTTTCAGCAAGTGTGGTACTGTTCAATTACTGTTCGATTCAATTTTCTTGCGTTTTTCCTAACTTGTGTGTGTAACTAAAGTGTATTAGCATTGAAATGTCTCCAGGCAGAAATGTAAGTGAGTTTGATGCGATCAAAGTTGTCACCTTGTTGGAAGAAGGGTATTCCCAACGTGAGGTCGCCCGAAGGTTGGGTGTTCATCACACCACCAGTGGTCGATACTTCAGGGTTTCAGGGAAACAGGTTGTCATGCTAGACGACCAGGGCAAGACCGACCAAGATCCACAAACCATGGGGGCGATCGTCTTATACGACTGCAAGCTTTAAGAAAACAGTCTATTACCGGAAATGAGATACAAAATCGAATTCAAAATGCCCAAAATGTCTCAATTTCTTCCCAAATGATAAAAAGAAGGTTCGATCAATCCGGATTGAGTGCAAAACATCCCGTGAAAGGTCTCTCTTATCCATGACCCACAAGCAAGCTAGGCCTGAGTTTGCTCGAGAACACGTGGACTGGGATTTAGACGACTGAAAGTCTTGTTTACTGTTGAAGTTAGAGTGGGTTTAAAATCTTCGGATGGGCGATCTTTTATTTGGAGAAGACCAGGAGAAAGATACAGCCATGCATGTACGGTTCCCCAACTGGCTTTCCGTGGTGGCTCAATAATGTTTAGGGCTGGCATTTCTTTGGAGGCCCGTACGAATCTTGTGGTGATCCGAGGAAGATCATTATCTTCCCAGATGTACGTTCAAGACATTTTAAAAAACGATGTCACACCTTTCGCACCTCACATAGGCGACAATTTATTGTTTATGGATGATACAGACCGCACCGAGGTCTGATCGTGCGCGACTATCTTAGCAGCTTATTTCGGACCTTAACGTGATTCAACATGTTTGGGATCAGCTCAAACGACGTATTCGACGACGAGATCCTACTCCTGAGTACTGAGGACTCGCGGTGCTTCAACAATGGCACAACAGACCCCAAGAATTAATTACAAACCTTTTTCATGGCACTCCAAGACGTTTGAGGGACATAATTTGAGCTAGAGGATGCAATACACGCTATTGAATCGGTTAAAGACGGAAACTTTTCCAGAATTTTTAAATTTATTTTTCATAATTTTTTTCCAAAAAACTGATAAACTAGTGATTCATGTTTTGTGTTAATTTTTCTTTCAAAAACATTCCCATATTAATTTGAAAAACTATAATTTTAATTTTGATAAAAGTGTGTAGAGTTTTTTCTTTGAAATTTATAGATGGTGCGCTTATTGTGTCCATCAGTGTATGTGTTTTCCTCTTGCTTATTTTTGCCTTGTCATTTATTTTTCCGTTTCGTGGATTTTACTATAATCAAATTCAACATACACTTCTGCAACCGTCTCTCCTTGATACTTTCGTTTCAATAATCATACGGCTTCTAACTTTTTTAATTAGTTTTAGTAGTTTCACTTTTCTTCTTCTTCTGACCTCCTCAATTTCCGACCATATATCCAATCTGACTGCATGAGCTACTTCACTTTCTCCATTGTACCTTCACACTCTCACTCCGTTTCTTCCTCCATTCTTCCAACACCAGAGTTTGGCTTTATAAGTTCTTCAACATCTCTTATTTTTTGCAGATACATTGATGATCTAAACGAAGCAACTAAATCCATTCTGTTCATTACGTTCCTACTGAATTCCATTAAAGTCGCCAGTGTGCTTTTCCCATTAATGGCGGTAAGTGACTGTTAAACTCAAAGTGGTTAGACATGCAAGATCACATGTAGTTCGTGAACCTTGGGGTAATTTTCAGGTAAAATCCCTCTCAGCGCTGGCTTTTCCTGCCATCTTCTCCTCCATGTTGGTTGCGGAGGTATTCTATCTGGGTTGGATATGTAATGAGGTCAAAGAACAGGTGAGTTTCTATGTGAAGTGGCTTACTTGTTATACGACTAACGATTTTCGATATTCATATGAAGATTTCGATTTTCGCGGATATCGACAGAGACTACAAGACCTGACGCGTATTCCGAACCGGATCGAGAGTGTCGAAGCTCTAGAGCTTGCAGTAAAAAATCGGACAGAGAATATACAACGGTCACAGCAAGCTCTGGCCAAAAAAGTTCCAAATAGGCCGCAACAACCTTCCTGGTGAAATCCTGGACGTGATTGAGGCGAAAAATTGAATCAACAAGGGTTGGATTGGAGCGAAGGGCAGCAGATGTTGCGGAGAGACATACAGTCGAGAAAAGAAACTGTCGAGAAGCCTCCGAAAAGGCTACTAGCAAGTCCCGGCACTTGAAAAAGAGGGGCGGAGTTACATTAACAAAAGTGACACGAGCGAACTGCTCGCCGACTTTTTGGCAAAAGGACCCAAAGTGCAACCAGCCACTCAGGATGACAAAAATCGTAAGACAGACTGCGGTTTTCGTAGAATGGAAGTATCCTATACCACCCTCGATTATGCATTCCTATATAACAACCCTGTCGGAGATTAAGTCGGGACTTCGCTGTCTCCCTAGCCGAAAAGCCGCAGGGCCAGACGACATGCCCTATTTGGTAAAACAGTGTTCCGAAACTGGTTCGGTGAGTAATAGAAAAAGAAACGACCTACGACTGATGAATGAAGGAGCCTAACAACTCCTTGCGGACAGTAGCAGAACAGACAGCAATATCACACGAGACTAAGAAAAGCACTGAAAATGCATAAACTCCATCCATACAAAGTGCAGATATTTCAAGAACTCTATGACGATGATTTTGATAGACGAGTAGAGTTTAGAGTTTTGTGAATCCATGAGTATCTCTAATATTCTGCCGAATATCTATTTCAGCAAATGAATGTTCATTTTTCTAAATGGAAATGTTAACAGACAAAATTTTCGATATTGGAGTGACGACAACCCGCATATTCTTCGAGGCGGACAAACACCATATCCTGAAAAAGTTAATGTTTGGGCTGGTGTTCTTGGAAATGCCATGATTGTTTCATTATTTATAGAAGGAAATATGACTGGTGATCTGTACGTTAAGATGCTTGAAGAGACTATTGACCCTCTTATCACGGATGAGCTAGAAACTCAAATTGATGCAGAAGGTAATTCAATTTAGAGGATGATTGGTTAACATTCCAGCAGCACCTCATTATTTTCTTCCGGTCCGACAATGGTTAAACGAGAGATTCTCGAATTGCAGCAACTCGATTGGTAGAAGGCGACCAATTGAATGGCCTCCAAGATCACCGGATTGAACACCCTTAGACTTCTTTCTTTGAGGACATCTTAGGTCCATTGTTTATGTAACACAACCTGCTGATATTGAAGATCGAAAAGGCGAAATGCAGCAGAATGACAGTCAATAGCTCGTGAAGTTTTCCGAAATGTTAGGGAGAATTTAGAAAAAAAAATGAGCTGCTATGGGAGCCTACGATAAAGTATCTATACAAAAATAGATTACAACAAAAAATCTAATAAAACCCGATTTTAAATAATAACGACACTAATGTAGTTTGGGAAAGAATCAAGAATAATATCAAGAATTCAACAAGGGAGGCACTTGGAGAATGAACCAGAAAAGTGAGAAAAGTAATGAACCACAAGGAACCACGGTTCCGCCCAGAATTCAAGGGACAGTGTAAAGAAAAAAGAAAAGCCTACCTAAAATATTGTAGAATGTGAACGCCAGAATCATTTAATGAATATAAGCAAGTTAAGAGCAAAACTAAAGAATTAATGAGAAAAATAAAAAACGATCACTGGGAAATGTTCTTCAAACGCCTGGATGGTGATTTCGACGGGCTTCAGGGCTTCAAAAGCAGATATGGCGGTTCATAAAATCGCTCATAAGGGAGGTCAATAAACTGCTAGAACCAACCCACATAAAAAAGGAAGAGTGAATCAGATATTTAACCGATCTCTATAAAACGACAAACCGTCACCAGAAATAACTATTAACTAAGATGCCACAATCAATACATCCGACGTAGAAAACGCACTACACAAACTAAGAAACAGAAAAAGCGCAGGGCAATACGCTATACAAAATGAATTGCTCAAATACGGTGGGCAAAGACCAACAGAAGAATTAACAACTTTAATACAGAAAATTATATTTCAACGCAAAATCCCAGATGCATGCCAAACCAGCACTACTGTGCTAATGTTCAAAAAAGGGGACAAGAGGATACCATCTAATTATAGAGGAATAAACCTTTTAAGCACTGCTCTAAAACTAGCATCTAAAGTAATTACAAACAAAATCAACAATCTTACATCGTTGGCGGACGAACAACAGGGATTCAGATCGGGAAGATCTTGCAAAGACGCCGTGTTCGTATTAAGACAAATAGTCGAGAAATCGATCGATTCCAACAAGCCAGCGTTTATGTTTCGTTGATCCAAATAGAGCATTTGACCGTGTCCAGCTGAAAGACGTCCTGCATCTCCTTTACTACAGGCAAATCCCACACAATCTCATTAAAACCATAGAGAACATATATATAAACAATAATATACGAGCCCAGATAGAAAGAGACCTCACAGATCCAATACCAGCGGGTAGCGGTATTCGTCAGGGAGACTCCCTGACTCGTTTGACCTTTTCAATTTAATAATGGAAAAAATTGTTCGAAGGCTAAAGGGGTGCAAAATGGGGATGCAGAAATCAAAATAGTGTGTTATGCTGACGATGCCGCTCTCGTTGCAGAAAGTGAAGATGACTTACAAAGGTTATTACACTTATTCAACCTAACAACAACCAAGGCTCTAAATATGGAAATATCACCGACCAAAACAAAGTCTTTAACATCAAAAACCCCTCTAAGATGCACCTGGATCCTGGAACTTGGCAGTAGAGTAATCGGGCAGAAAATAAAATTTAACTACCGTGGCGTGGAACTTTACGACTTTGGGGATACTGAGGCAGAAGTGAGAGATCAAACAACAAAAGCAATTAGAACAGCTGGCTATCGGAATGCCATATGGTGCAATAAGAGTATGGGAACGGACACTAAATCGAGGATCTGCAAAACCGTCGTGAGGTCGGTGATGAAAAATACAGCAGAAACCAGGCCAGAAACATCGAAAACCAAAATACTCCTAGAGGCAGCTGAGATGAAAATACTCCGTAGAATTACCGGAAAGATACTGCTGGATAAAGAGGGAAGCGAGGATATCAGAACATCATGTAATGTCAAGAACATCAATGAATGGGTAGCAAACAGGAAGAAAGAATGGAATGAGCACATAAGCAGGATGGACCATCACAGACTTGTGAGAATCGCTTGCGTCCCCATTGGGATGAAGAGACGTTGGGCGCCCCAGGAAACGATGGAGCGACAACCTCACGCAAGTGAACGATAATTGAACAGGGATTCGCCTAAAATCAAGAATGAAGAAAAAGAAGAAGTTGGAAAACATACTTTATTATTGTTTACAGGAAAGAAGCGCGTAAATAGATCCCATGTGTTTACTGTGGGGACTTCATTGCAAAAGTTGGAAGAGAGCGAGTGTACAAACCAAAAATTGGCATAGGGACACAGCCTGCACAACATCAGTAATGACAATGGTATGAGGCTCATCCAACTAGAGGCTAGCAATAGCTTGCTAGTCAAGTCTACAATGCTTGAACACAAGGACATTCACAAACAGATGTGGGTATCAAATGAAATGAAATGAAAAGATGCGAGACATGCAAGCAACTTCCTTGATGTACGGAGCTTGAGAGGTGCAGATGCGGACTCGAATCACATCGTAGTAAGAGCAAAGGTGAGAATGCGCATCTCTAGGCGCAAAAATAAAAGCGCGGAAAGATCAAATAAGTAGAAAGTATGTAAACTAAAAAACGAATTCCAAAAACAAATATTGGAAAGCCTTCCAGAAGCCTATGAAGATGAGAACGTAAATGAGATCTGGGGTACAATAGAGCGATCAATATCTAATACTGACAAGGAAATACTGGGTTCAACACAAAAGAAGAAGCATACAAACTGGTTCAACGACGCGGTCGGAGGATACACAACAGATTGCATAAAATATGGAGGTGAAGGTCTGCATCGGCATATACACCAGCTAATTACTACAATCTGGAAAAAGGAAGAAATGCTGACTGATTGGAAGAAACGTTTAATAATCCCCATCCACAAGAAGGGGGATAAAATGAAGTGTGCCAATTACAGGGGTATCTCATTGATAAACGCGTCATATAAGATACAAAAAAGAGATACAAGAGATAGAAAAAAAAACAGGTCTACAGTCGACCAAATATTCACTCATCGACAAATTCTCAAAAAGTGCTGGGAGTTCAATCAAAAGTTGCACCATATATTTATCGACTCTAAACAAGCCTACGACAGTATCTTGCGAGTAGAACTGTAGCAGGCAATGGCGGAACTATCAATCCCACAAAAGCTAATTAAACTTAAATTATTTTGATTAAAATCAAACCCAAATGTGTGTAAATGGATCCAAAAGCAGAGTTACAATTGGAAGCCCTGTCTCAAGCGCATTCGACATAAACAAAGGGCTGAAACAATGAGACGTACTAACTCAGCTGTTCTTCAATATAAAAACCCAGGAGTAGCGCGATTACGCAGAACTGTCAGAAATCCAGGGTGAAAAGTGCGTACTTTTAAACAGAGGAACAGCCACTTTTCTACTTAGAGCAGTTATGAAGAAATTAATTTTTTGCATTCGGTCTGCCGGAAGTGGCGGTCGCAGTCACAGTTGCACTCGAATGTCGAAAAATTTGCCAGAAAATCAGGAAAAAATACAATGGCGCAGAACTTTCAGAAATCGATTGAAAAAAGTGCGCTCTATTAAATGCTGTAACAGGCATCTTTCTATTGAAAGCAGTTCTAAATCAATAAATCATTTACAGTCAGTATATTTTGAGTTGGCGCTCAGTCACAGCTGCACCCGAATGTCGAAAAATTTGGCAAAAAATCAGAAAAAAATGCAATCGCGCAGAACTTTCAGAAATCGATAGAGAAAAGTGGGCTCTATTAAATGCTGCTACAAGCATTTTTTTATTGAAAGTAGTTCGAAGTAAATCTACTGGCCTAGGCCATCTACTGACTGAGGCTGACATGATGAAGATAAACAGTCAAAGCAAAAGGGGTTTTTGACTTCCCTTCAGGAAGACCTTTTTTCCTTATTGAATGCCCCTCGAGTGAAACCAAAACCGCCACTTCAAGATTATCTCTTGACGTCGTCCTGCGTATGGTAATGGACGACTTAGCCCGCCTATTTAGATATTAGGCAAAGGAAGTTGTTATCTTGTTTGTGTCTATACCAACGTGAATGTTTAATAAATGTTTATCTATCTCTTTATTTGTATGCGGTTAAAACATCTTTTCTAATGAGTCAACCCTCTGATTGCAGAGTTTGAAAATATCGACAGATGCCTACAAGATTCTGTGGTACAACGAGGACAAAGGCGTGGCAGTTTTACTGCAAATGATGATAATGCGGGCGCAAAAGCCTTTGACTATGCAAATGGGTCCTTTTGGCCCCATGATTACCGACACCATCCTATCGGTGATTTTCTCAATTTTGCACTATCACTTACTAACAGATTTTGTAATGTTTCCAGACGATGAAAGCCGCTTATTCCTACACCACTTTAATGCTCAACGCCCGAGAATGAAATGGAATGGAATTACACGCTCGCACATAATCCTACGGTTATTATTATGAAATGCAAATTTGCAGCCGTTTACTAGTTAAACCACGTCTACGACCTGCTTCTCATTTTGATTGTGCGCCTGATTTATAAGAGTTTTCACCATCAAAACTTCTTTATTAAGCAATAAAGGACCCTCGCCAGCATAAACACCACAAATCGCTTAGTTTTGTCGTATAATTCTACATTAAGTGCGTCTTTTTCAGTCACACAGAATGAGGGCATGTTTTCCTGCATTAAGTACAATTGGACCAACATTCCCTTGTTCCACTAAACAGTAAATTTATGCATTTGCGAGGCTTTTAACCATTTTTATTATTATTACCATATTAGTCCAAAGCAACAACATTCATAAAACTATTCATTAGGAAAAGAAAACAATAACATTCATGTATGTGTGCATAACCTTAGTAGCAAAAAACGTTTATGAATTCCAAACATAGACACGCATAAACAAACACACGCCGGATACGCGTGATCACCAACAGTGAAAGTATGAGACCAGGGAGGCACTGGGAAAAATTAGCCCAATTCTGGATTCTAGATAACTCTTGATTCTCTAATTTGAAATGACGCATTCCACCCAAGGAGAGGACGACGTTTTATTGCGGTAAAAAATAAATATTCAATTCAAGTTTACAGGCGAAATTGTTCGAAATCAAATTGACTTCATCTTTCTAGACTTGTAAAATGAAGAATAGAAGTAGAGGAACTGACAAACCTCAAAAGAAGTGAATAAACTGTAGGTAGAAATTGAGCTGATTGCAAATCTGACACCGGAATAAAAGTTATGCTTTAAGAATTATAATAATAAAGAGAACATATTTTTATTGAGAGTTAAAAGCTATAACAAATATGGGCTCCTTTAAAGCCAAAGGAGCAAAAGAAAATGTAAAAAACATTCCATGAAAAGTTGTGATGAATGAAATATGAATTTTTACAACTTTACATATGAACTGTAACCAAAGACTTAAGAAATACCTAAAAAGTACCAAAAATCCTGAGAAGAAACCAATCTAAATTGACCATTTGATTATTAATAGACAAAAATGGACTTTAAAGAGCAACAGCCTGTTTTAGTGCGCCGATCACAAACATTCGTCTTGCCAACATTATAATAACACTGAAAATACGGAAGAAGAAAACAAAGTTCAAAGAAAAACAAAAATGTTGAATCAATTGCACGAACAAAACAAATTATTGCAGGTACTGCAACAGATTCAACAACTCTGGGAACGAAATGAAGCCAGCAGAAATAAAAGTAGGTGAAAGATTTGTTGGAAGAATGAAGCAAAATTGAAAAAGATTCGAATGCAATAAAATAATAGAGAGAAATACAAGGAATGGAAAAAATGAAATGAATAAAATAATGTCAGGAAATTGAAAGGTTGAACGAGGAAAAACAACACAGAAAAACTAAACAGGAAACTAAAATAATATACTGACAACACTTGAAGGAGAGCACAAATAGTGGTAACAAATTGACGGGTTGAACTGAAATTATCAGAAGAAGATAAAAGGGAAACACCGAAGAATGAATGAACGATAATAGCGAAAAATTGATGACAATAAGGTGAAACATTAAAAGGAATCAATTAAAAAATCTTATAAAAAATACACAGTTATTAAATTTTGTAGTTTTACAAAAAGCGTGTGACCGAGTCTAACACATGGCATACGCCTAGATTTTCAAGAAAATGTTGGCTTGTTAAACATTTACTTAAAAGCTAAAAATCTTGGTTAGATTGTCTATTTATCTATTTACCCTGACATGTCAAATGCTTAGGTGCAAGATTGTGCCAAAATTTCATGTTTTCTGTCCCGTTTTTGCTCATTTTTCGGAAGCGAAATGAGAAAAAATGCAAATTTTTATATCATTCCAGAGATAACTGAATGGCCTTTTCAGCAAGTGAACCATCGATAAGGAAATGTTGGGAGTTTTCTTCAAAAAGTCTGGATTTCATGAAGTTTTAGATTTGCGTGTTTTTTTTTGACTTGCAAAATCGACTCAAACATGACGCTGCTTTTTTCGAAGTTTTGCAAGTGATTTGAGCCGCAGAATTCTTTTTGGCATCGTTGGATAGAGAACTGAAAATCCGATTCAGTCATAACAACATGAGTGAGGAAATTCGGGCAGTTTTGACCCAGAAAGCGAAATTTAAATATCAGACTCTTAGGAGTACGATTATTCCGAAAATTAATGTTTCCGTCCCGTTTTTGCTCGTTTCTCAGAATCAAAATGACCAAAAACGCTCATTTTTACATAATTTCATAGATAACTAAATGACCTTTTTATAAAGTGAACTATCGATAAGGAAATGTTGGCAGTTTTCACAAAAAGTCTTGATTTCACGACGTTTTAGATTGCGTGTTTTTTTTGAGCTGCAAACTCGACTCAATCACTACGTTGCTTTTTTGGCAGTTTCTCAGGCCCCATTTGTGCCACAGAATTCGTTTTGGCATCATTGGATAGAGCATTGAAACTTGAAATGAGTGCGGAAATTCAAGTGGTTTTGACCCAGAAAGAAAAAGCAAACTAAAAATGCTTCACGATTAGGTCATTAAATATTAAAATAATATCACTTTAACCCGAATAAAGTCATTACAATCATTATGATCTTTGATTTTGCTCGCGTTAAGAGCAAAAACAAGATCAGAGCAAGAACAAGGTGGAACTATGTTTTGCTGCTATAAATTGCTAGTAAACGTACCAACTTTCCATCATTCCTGTTTTTTCAGCAACGCTGAAAAAAATGTGCAATTTAAATAAAGCGTTGTGTTCAATTTATGGAATGTTTGTTTGTTAACATGCCTGAAAGCTTCTTATTGGTTTCTTGAGTTGTTCATTTTTGTTATTTTCCACGTAAGCAAGCATTTAGTCATTCAACCAATGCTTCTGCGACATAAAATGTGTTTTATAAAACATTTTAAATTTAGTTTTAGACAACATATCAAAATAATATATAAACATTTTCTTAAATGTTGAGTGTTTCAAATTCGAGATTTTTGTAAATCATAAGATATACAACGGCGGATAAATTAGGCCAAAGTTGCTGTTTTTATGCTTAAGAAAATGGTGTTTTAAACGTTGGACTAATCCGTTCCAAGAAAATCGACTTTTTTTTAAACTATTTTAATTTTTTTCTGCGTTTATCTCAAAAAAGATTTCTAAATAATTTCCACGTCATTAGAACACTTTTATACTCTCTACTAAAAAAAAGATCTGGAATTCATTTTTTTTATTTTCGCAACAACTCTTTACCAGTTTTGTTCTTTAATTCTGATTCTGCTTGACTTGACCTTCCATCGCCTCCATATTCTCTTCGTTGGATCAGTTTTGGTCTAAAATACTATTTTTCGCATTTTTTCGATTCTTTACCAACTTGACTGGTGGATGCTTCTTCACATTTTGCAGTTTAGATCGTTTTCATTCAGCTTCAAGACACTGTGATTTCTTTCGTCAATTTTTTCCCCTTCAGGATTATTTCAAAGCCTGGCTGATCTTTTCTTTCATCGGTTTCAAACTAATTTTTCTCCAGTTGTTCCCTATTGCTTTCTTCATCTTCATCAAGCTGCAGTCGAAGGTATTCAGTTGATTGGTTTTTTTGCCAATTTTTTTTGGCGATTGCAGTTTGGTATTTGTTGTTTTGTGGCTCGACTAATGGCTGCATTTTGAACGTATTTAGCATCTTCTCCTCTCGATTCCGTATTCTCTCATATACATTTACATTAAAAAAATGGTGTGCGTCACGGGACGCTCGACAGAAGTGATAACGTCATAAATTAATAGAAACCATAAACTATTGAACTTGTTTAACGCATGATGGCAATAATAATTTTATTTTATAATTTTTATAATTTATAAATAGATCACGAATAGGTAAAATTTAATTTAATTTCCTTTTGAAGTAAAATATCTTTTTTATTTGCAACATTTAACATTTTTTAACGAGATGTTGTACATATTGCTCTTCTTGGGTTTGTGTAAACTCTTCTTCTTGAGTTTCTGTATTTCTTATTTGCTTTGTATAATCTTTGACGTTCAGCACTAGTTCGTGGTTGATGAAAGCTACTTTGAGTTGATCTATTACTTAATGCTCTTTTTTTAGCACGAAATCGTTTTTGGAGTTTGGCATTACTTAATACTGTTCGCACTGTAGCATGAATTAACTAATGAGACCGGCGAGAGCCCTTTTTAAAAAACAATTTTATTTCTTTAGATTACAAAAGTTCATAAAATTACTCGTTGACTGCCTACTTCTGACTGACTGGCCTCCGCACATCTCCTTGGTAGTTATTGTCTCCAAACGGACATATGATCTGCTGGCTCATCAGTTTATGGGGATAGGCGGTCAGTTAACTCATGTCTTTGTCACTGCTTTTGTGTATGTTGTTCATGAACGTTTTCTACAACTTGTATCTGAATAGGACTAAAAAATAAATTAATTTTGGTGATTGGAAGACGTTCTATCTGTTTAAAAACGAGACACGACAAGAAACAAGACTAGAACGAGACGGTAAAACGAGGAACAGCTATAGAGACATGATACACTTGACACACTATAAGCATACATAATGTAAACCATCGCGCGTATGTTCAAAAAAAAATTTTAACTGAACTAATCCAATGCTAAAAAAATTAAACTGAATTGCGAAGATTTAATGATAAAGAAATCAAAGGGGATATCTTTCATATTTATTATATATTAATACAAAACAGTAATGATGTTTATCATTTTATGTTAAATATGAAAGATTACAAAATATATATCTAAATATTGATAATTTATTGTTACAAAATAAAATAACAAATAATAGAACATATTATTGCATTAAAAGTTATTAATAATAGTTGTGACACTTTATTTGCACTTAATCTTGAGC